AAGCGAAAACGGATGTTCCATTATATATCCATCCTTCGATTTTGTACTTCTATAAACGCGAATTTCAAACATTTAAGAGACGGTTTTTAATGAAAACTCCCCGATTTTCTTACAGGTAATAAATTTTTTTTCAGGCATTGTGTTAATATTTAGTGGAAATTTGGGAAGTTTTTACAGTACCTATATGGAAACATTGCCATGGAAAAGTTTGAAGTTAAAATATCACCTTAGGAAAAGTGTGGCTAACAACCATATTGACCCAAGCTCTTCATACATGGAATTGACCTCTGTTTTGTCTCGAGTGCAAATAGTATTAGAATAATGGTATAGTTTTCCGACTACGGAACTACCTCATTTCGGAGAGCCGTAAAATTATCACCTTATTATTATTGATCTTAATCAATTGTAATTACAGATACGTTGGTAATAGATACTTAATATACCAATATACATGAACTATTGTGTTAATAGATTTTTACTCATCTCCAAAACAAAATAGTACAATATATACGAGAATTATTGAATAAAAATATTATTTCTGTACAATATTTTAATAATTTAGTTATTTTAAGCACAAATATTTTAGTAAGAAGTGAAGAAAAAAATGTGTATTTAAAAAGAATACACATTTTCAAATGTGTAAGCTATTTATCAGTAAAAAATATTAGTTTTCACTTCCAGGATTTTAGAAATGCACAAAGTATTCTTTATAAAAGACGTTACCTTAGTCAGGAGCTGTTAAAGGGAAATTCTCGTAATTCTAATCAGAAGACTGAAATAAGTCCATTTGAAAATTGTCGTCTGCTTCATTTTGAGTCTGTAAAAAATGTGTAAACAAAATAAGTATCTTTGTATGTTTTTAATGCCTTTCACTTCATTTCTCTCAGAGTGAAAAATTAAATATCGAAGTTAGATTTTGTGAGCTATAAGCAAACTGACATACGGACAGTATAATTTTTCAATTTGAACAAAATTAAATAGTAAATATTAGCCTGTCTCTTTCGTCATTTGAATATTCATACTACAAATAAATGTTATTCAAGATACAGTTTAGATGAGAATTGAAGCAATGTCAAGCATGGCAAGTATGAAGTCTGCTTCGAACGCAATATATTTTCCCATATTTTTAGATATGTAAGTTGAAGGCATAATTTAACGTTTACGTTAACCAAATATTTTATTTACAACGTCAAGACTACCACCGCCACAAATCAGACACACGTAAACATAAGTACAAATCGTTGCTACGCGACAGATAAAGTTCCTGAAGATAAGTTTTAAGGCTGTTTATGGAAAGCTTTATTGTTACCTGAAATGAATCTTTTTTGCGAATAATATGCTATTTTCATATTTGCTATGAGTTTGTAGTAGTTGCTTATGACTATTAGGTCAAGTTTAACTTATCTTCAGTCAACGCCTTCTGTGCTTATTCTGAAAATGGCGTAAAATGTCAATAAAGAGAAAAGCCACAGTTTTAAAGCATAGAAATCAGTTGCTGTTTAACTTTTTAATATTTTAATTTTTAAAAACTTACACCAATGCTGCATTGTCTGGTTTCATAAAAATTGGAGAATACGGCATTGATTTTGATAATTTTATTCTAGAGGGAAAAATGTCGCCAAATTTGCGATTTTTAAAAATTGTTTAATAACTTTTAAAATATCTAAACTATTTGTCCATTCTAGAGCCCAGATAGTTCACAATAAGATGGTATATACAGTTTGAAAATATAGCTTTGCTTGAAGTGTTAGGGACTTTCTGTTGCTTTTTTTATTTTCCCTCGCGAATTCCTTTTTTTATTTTCCCTTTTTTGAAGCTCTTTAGAGCTTCAAAAAACCATGTTCAAACTAGAGAATTGTGGCATAATTTACCATTGTTCATTAAATATGCGGAAGAATTTTCCTTCGCTAAAGACCTTCAAAAAACCATGTTCAAACTAGCGAATTGTGGTATAATTTACCATTGTTCATTAAATTTGTGGAAGAATTTAATATTTTTTTCTTCTAAAAATAAACTTATATGTTTTATTTAACGTACTCATGTGCAACAATAAATTTATTAGAATGTTTTTAATAATTACCACAATAATCATGAAATCGTAAATCCTGAAACATTTATTGGCATCAAATTACAAGCGCCATAAATGCTTTATACTGAATTAAATTTATCCTTAATGGACTGTCATTAAATTAATGATTGATAACTTTTGTTAATCTAATAAATAAATATAAAATTTTTTCTTAGCACTGCTTACATTCCTTTTTGTTGAGCGAAAAATTTATCATTCAACAAATAATAATAATAAAAAAATCGCGTCTCTGTAAACATTGTAACATATTCCGCAATAACACTTCTGAAACCTTCTTTAAAATATGCTATTATTATCTTTCCTTACCATTGAAAAGAAAATCCTTTTTGATAAATCTTAAAATATTATCAATTCGAATAAGTTTTTTTAAGAGGATGCCAACCCCCTTTTTCATATCACCCCCCATAAAATACACATTACTCGACTTCCGAAACATCCTTATGCTAGTGTGCATCAAGCGAAAACGGATGTTCCATTGAAATTGGAACAAGCTATAGGTGTTATATGGCTGCATGGGTATTATAGTACTCTTTTTAAGGTTGAATAATTTCTTTTACTTTAATGGTTTTTAAATGTAAATAAGGAGTGGAGGAGGCCCCCGTGAAGGTTTTGTTATTCGATGGGCTTGTTGTTGTTGGGTAATTTGTCATGAAAGTGCTTATCTCCCCTTCAGTCCTCTCATCCATTTAAAATATAGCTTTTTATGTTCACAATAAAAAATTCTTTCTGATATTTTCCTAATTGAATAGTAGGGCGTATAAAAAGAATCGTTATTTTTTCGAAACTCTAGCAGATTGTATGTTTTACCAAGGTGTCATATTTATCAATAAATAAATAAATAATTAAATGCCGTCAAATTTAAAAATATTTAGGTTTCTCAGAAGGAACTCAAAATATAATTTTCTGGGGGTTAAAAATGCAAAAAGTACTTAAAGAACAAAAAAATAGAACGAATTTTTGTTAAGTTATACTAAAAAAATATTAAAAAACAAAATAACATTTAAGTTTCCGGAATCTAAACGAAAACCATAAATTTTAACAAATATGCATATTTCAAATTTTAATCTAATCTGTACGCTATCGTATTACATAGATTCTAGGTTAGATTATTACTTATATAGATTTTCAGAAGACACAAATTTTAAATTTCATGAATAATTTTGTATGAAAAAAAATTATATATGAAATGTAACGTTTATGTTCTCAGAATATGAAAGAAAACCTTAGTTTTCATTAAAAAAATGTGCATGTTTCAATTTTTAAATTAATCGTTATGTTTTTGAATAGATTCCGGGTTAAATTAGTTTTCACGTCGATTTCAGGAGACACAAATGTTAAATGTCATGTATAATTTTAAAGGAAAAAAATATGTATGAGTTGTAAAAATATACAAGTTGTCCGGGAATATACAAGAAAGCCTTATTTTTCATTAACAAATGCATACATTTAAATTTTGAATTCAATCTTTGCATTATGGTTACATAGATTCCGTGTTGGAGTCAAGTGGTTTTCATGTAGATTTCAGATAACATAAGTGCTAAATCTCTCAGATATTTTTTTACTGATAATTTACATTATGGATTTAAATGTTTTGAGCTTGCAAGCTTAAATTTGTATTACATATTTGCCCCTTTAAGAAAATTTAAGTTTTTGAGGTAAAAAAAATTGTCTTTCAAGCCCGTTTCGAAGAATTTTTTGGGCCTTTCTCTCAAAAAATATTAATTCGATACTATTTCATAGCGTGTCATACATTCATACTAGTCAATCAAGCAGACATGCCTATAAAAGTCGTATTAAATGATAGATTTTATTGTAAGCAAAGGTATTTCTAAATTACTCGAACTAACTCAACAAAAATGTGTAATATCCAACAACGAAAAGCTGTAATATCCTTGACAAATGGAAATAAAAATAAATACTTGAATCGATTTACGAAATACAACGATCTCTTCATAAGTAGTAACAACATTGAAGTGATAATGAAGAATTTATGAAATATAAAATAAACAGCCAGAGGCAATAACTTTTCGAATTAAAGTCACGTTTATCATTCCAGCTGTTTTTATTAGTTCTCACATCAAATCATAACATTAGCTCACATCAAATCATAACATTAGTTACTACTTGAAATCCATATAAAACATTTTTGTTTAAAACAGATATTTCAGAATCTTTTATTCAAGTTTACAAGATGAAATTATTCAAGTTTACAAGATGAAAGCTTTCTTTTTAATCGTTGCATTGGCTGTTTCTGTTGCAGTATGCCAAGGTAGGTTCAACCTTTTGAAGAAAACTTGGTAGAGACTTTTTGTAGATTTGATGTAAAACTTCCCTTTTCATTAACGGGTAAAATTCTTGACAATTTTAAACTTACAATGCGCGAAGAAATAAAAGGATCTCCCTAAATACTTCTAATCTAAAGATCGCATCTTCACGTTTTTAATAGTTAAAGACTCAACTCAATCTGAATGGTTGAAGGGTGTGACCTTAAATGCGTTAATTAATTAATGCAGATGATATTTTAAGTTACGAAATCAGACACAGAAATGTATTGTCTCTGAATAAAACATAACTTTTTTTCCGACTGATTCGTATTTATAAACTTGAAACATAGGAAGTAACCACAATCTTAGAAATATGATCCCAATAGTTTGGTCAAGAGGGCAGTCCAAATTTTTTTTGGACCCCTTAGTTCCAGAAAAATTAAATTTTGAAAAATTTTGAAAATTCAATTTCTCAAAACTATTCTATTGATTTTGCTCAAGTTTTNTACGAAATCAGACACAGAAATGTATTGTCTCTGAATAAAACATAAGTTTTTTTCGACTGATTCGTATTTATAATCTTGAAACATAGGAAGTAATCACAATCTGGGAAATATGATCCCAATAGTTTGGTCAAGAGGGCAGTTCAAATTTTTTTTGGACCCCTTAGTTCCAGAAAAATTAAATTTTGAAAAATTTTGAAAATTCAATTTCTCAAGAACTATTCTATTGATTTTGCTCAAGTTTTGTAACTTGCCATTTAAAATTGCATTCGTTAAAAGGATTAAAACTTGCATAACTTACAATTCAAAATTTATTTAGAATATTATTAAATAAAATAACAAAAAATAATAACTAATCACCAAATGTTAAATTTTGGACCTCTTTCCTGACAAAAATAGTGGAACCATATATGCCAGATTGCAGCTATCCTATATGCAGCTACCCTATATAATACCCCTAAAAATGCACGTTTATTCAGAGAAAGTACGTTTTCGTGCCTGATTTTGTAACTTAAAGTATCGTCTGCACTAATTAATTAGCATATTTGAGGTCACCCCCCTGAACGATTAAGATTATGTCCGAGAATGCGAAGATCCGATCATCGCATCAAAAGTTAGTCAGAGCAGTCTGTTTTTAATTTGAGCGCTGTACACCACCACTCCTTCAGTTCATTCCTTATGCTTTCATTTTTCATTTTGTAGCAAATTCAACGCATAGTGTTTATGATAAAAAAAATAATAACTAATTAAAAATATATACGAATAAGTGCGTGAACAGTGAATATTAGCAGTAAATGCCAATCATCATTGTCAATTCATTATTCTCTAATTATTTATTGGCAAACAAATAGTAATGTATTAAGGTACATACAACAAGGTAGGTATAGCATACTGTGCTAATTTTCAAATTTCGAAGTCTACCATGCGTCATTTATAAGTGGCAAAGATCAGGATGGTGTTATTTGTAAGTATGATAATTTTACTTAATCTATATTCAATTCTTAAAAAAAATAAAATAAAGAAAACAAATATTAAATAAGAAAAAACGAATAGAATTATTAGAAGCTATGCTTTTTTGGATCATAGTGGATAGGATAATACTACAATCGCAATATAATGCAATATAAATTCATAATAATAGCTCTCTGCTGCGCAGTTACTAAACATATCGCTCAATCTGCTAGTTGAGAGTTGAAGTTCGTGAATTCAATCCTTGCAGCCAATTAAAAATCTGGCGTGTACCATCAGCTAAGTGTGTGCTATTTCTTTTGTAACTGAAAGTTCTCTCGTTGGTTGTGATGTTAGGAGAAAGGTGGTACCAGTTCAGATACTGTCCATGTCGTCTGACCGGGGTCCAGATTTCGCGGCATTCTCGACATGGCGGTTAAAAGATAAAGCCCTGAAAAACGGGGCGAGATGCTTGTCCTGGATGGTTGGTGTGAGGTAAGACCGGTGCATTTTTGCACAAATAGAAAATTTAAATATTTATTTTAACTATTTTAATTACTTAGACCACATGAGTTTGCAATCAGAGAACTGTTGAAATGTCAAATAACTCTAGACTATATACTAGTATATTGTTGAAACTAAATTACTAATTACTATGCTTCACTATCAAAAGAACTAGGGAACTAAGCATGTATGATTAAGCGATTCAAAAGGCACTGTTCTGGGGATTGGTGAGCGAGAGGGGGACCGTAGAATCCTAGTTCCTTACAAAGTTAAAAGGATGTCCTAACATTGTGCAGAATTTAATACAAAAAAATTATTTATGAAATGTAACATCTATATTTCCGGAGTATACAAGAAAACTTTAGTTTTCTTTAATAAATGTACAAGTTTTCAATTTTAATCTAATTTTAATGTTATGGTATTATAGAGATTCCGGGTTAGGTTAGTTTCCATGTAGATTTCAGGATATACAAGAGTTAAATGCTAAAAGTAACTAATGTTAAAGTTACTAATCCTTATTATGGAGTAAATAATTTCCTCGTCATATTAAGATTATTCTTTAAATCGTAATTCGTATTCTTTCGATTCTACAATGCCTTTGTTATAATTTTCTTGTAAATTTTTTAAAATTTCTTTTACTGATTTTTTTCTAACATCCCATGCACAATCTATAATAATAATAAAATAAAGAGTTTGTTGTTCTTGGGTGCGTGTCTCTTATAAATCCAGAACCATTTATACTATCCTTCTTAAATTCAGACAGCAGTCGCAATAGGTAATTCCAGCCCACAATCCTAAGAAATTTCCTTAGATTGTTTGAGAGAACTATTTGAAAATTGGTATTTTGCCATTGGTTAATTATTATCTATTGTTATAAATTAACCTGTAGATGAATATGTCTCGTATATTTAAAAATGATATTTGCTAGCTTACAGCTGTGCTTAATCAAAAACGAAGTTTATTGCAAGTTCTTCAAAAAATAATTCATTTTTGAATCATTATGTCAGGTAAGTTCAAACATCAACATGAATACCTATGTTACCGATTTAGTGTTTCTAAAGTTATCTGAAACCGCATGTTTATTTTGTTTTTGGTTTCGCTGTTAAACGGTGTTTCAATAAAAGTAAATAACTTAAAATCAATGAATGGTATTTGAAATAAAAAAAAAGTTAATGGTATTGTGGTAACAGGCGCTGTTTTAATCAATGCTAAATATGTTAATATAAATACTAGAGTAAGAGAATTTTTTGGTTCTCAGACAGAGATAAGTACCTTAATAATTTTCTTGATTGCGGTAAATTCTGACAATAATGAATAAGCCGCTCCGTGCTAAGAGAAACTGAATGATGAATTGAACTTATACATACGTGTTTTGCTTAATCTAATAACCTAAATCCCCCAAAGAAGCTGGATGTGCTTGTTTTGGTATATTTCTTCGGTTTTATGTATGATTTTATAGTGTTAATTAATGCCAATTTATTATGTATTTCTTTCCTGTATGAAGAACAGGTACTCAGAGAGTGTTCTATAAAAAATTAAAAATTATTTGCTAGCAAACACCAACTTGTTAATACATGTGATAGGTAAATAAACTATACTAAACTATTGAGAACAATTTATTTAATGAATACCAATATATACATTTATAGTATAATATGCAGGCCTGAAAAAGTGTTTTTATTATAACATTTTATGTTGGAAAAACACTCTTTTCATATAGCATACTTATTTATAAATTTGCGCAAAATTCAAAATTTGAACCATTTTTTTAAAAATATATCCGTATTTAATAAATGCATTATTGACACCAATAATCACTGATTTCCTACCAACATTATTCTTGTTATTATTATTAAACATACAGAATCCTGAGACGGCTAAATTTCTTTGATAAGCAAATTATAAAAAGTTGCAGATATCTTGGTTTCCAATGCATTTTCTAAGACAATTGAGACATGATGATTCAAAATTTGGAAACTTGTCACTGCGTCGTAGATATATTCATTCAACCATATATATGTGTCACTAGTACAACTTACTTTGACAAGAGTACTTATTAAAAGGGCATTAACAAAGACAAAAGTGAGAACAAGTCTGACATATATACTATAAAGAAATATCAATTTCAAGATATAACATATACACAAATTTCACACATACGCAGTCCAGATGGTCGAGTAGTTAGCGTGCCTGACTGCGAAGCCAATGGCTGCGGGTTCAAATCTCGTTCGTGGTATGGATGTTTCTCTCTGTGTGTTGTTCTCTATTGTATGATGTGTGAATGTGGCCCTCCCTATAAACGGGTATCTGTGGCTGTGTGGGTAATGTTGCTCGCCTGCGTGACTTAGGTTCACAGGTGCACACTGGGTAACGTTAAATGAGTAATACTTCTGGCATCTTCCTAGAACGTAACAGTGCAGTGCCTGCAAATTAGAATTTTTTTCTCCACACATACTGAAAAATTTCCTTAATCTAAAAGTGTATTTGCTTAGAATTTTTTAAGTAGTAGACTTGCGTTTATTCTTAGTATAGTATGTTTAGTATAGTTTAGTAAAGTATCCAACATTGATGTAGTCCATCGAAAGTGAAGTCAAGATGATACTGTTCTGGAGGTTAATTATCAGAGGCATGTTGACACCCAACTGTTGAGCCCATTAATGAATTTCTTCATAACGTATGCTTAGTCTTATAATTTCAAAGAAAGTCGGCTACAGTTGATTTTAATGCCACCAATGCATTTCTTTTTAGTATCGTTCAGTAAGTTTTGGAATAAGTTATTAGAAATTACTTTCATTACACGTGGTCCTACGAACACTCTTTCTTCCACTTTTGAATAACTCAACTCACTCAACTCTGGTATCAAAAGCATTGATTATATGTGTATGAAAAAGCATGAGTCGTTGTCTAGTGCATTGACGGCTCCAGCTTGATGTGAAGCAGGGATATATTATAACATTGCAACCAAGCAAAGGCACACGGAGGACGTATTTGATTTTTTGTGTGGTTGTATTGGGATTCTGATTGGCCAATTTTTCTTTGTGTAGCGGTTGTTTCTATCAATACTGTCTCACTCACTGATAAAAACCGTACTTGATATAACCCATCTGCATTCCGATGAGAAAGGAGATAGCATTTAAATCTTCATAGACATCAATTAAATAATCACAGACATCATTTACAGTCGAGATAGTGAGGTGACTCGCGTCTCTTTCACATATATCCAACCAGTTCTGCTGCATATTTGTTTCCATTGTGTAACAATGCTTTTTTCAAACTTGCTTGTCCCAGAGTATACTGATCGTTAAGACACGGTTCCCAGCAGATCACTGAAGTCAAGCATCACTGGCTGTGGTCAGTGTGAGGGTGGGTGACCACTTGAATCAGTATGCGTAGGGACCGAGAGTGTGCGGTATTGGTCCTCGTTAAACTGTTCTACCGTGAAGCGCTCGACTTCGCGTGCAGGTCGTCGGGCTACCGAAGCGGGGGTGCAATCCCCTCTGCAGAGGATCAAAATTGAGATGGCATGTCTTAGGATCATCCTCAGGGATGTTTCCCAGACCGTCGCCAATAGCCCATTGTGCAGATCTAGCGCGACGTAAATGAACTACAACAACAACATTAAAACTTGTTTGTTGTCTTTGGTAAGTCATGTGAATATTTAAAGGCGATGTAAAGTAACGAAATTTCTTTTTCTTGAAAAGAAGTATCTTTAATGAAATGCATTAAAAATACTTGTTTTTGCAGCTGGACAAGAGGATTGTGATGAAAGCAAAGGTGAAAAATTTGGTACCTGTTACACAGCTTGTCCTAAGACTTGTTCCAACTACAAAGATGAAGGTGGTATCTGCACCTTGCAGTGCATCATAGGATGTGGATGTCCAACTGGGACAGTTAGAAGAGAATCTGATCAACATTGTGTTAAACCTGAAGAATGCTAAAATTTGCATTGTCTGATGTTTCTTAATAAAACAATTTATTGTAGCTAATCTGTGTTTGGTTCCGTTTTTACCCTACTTAAAGTTGTTATTAGTATATTTTTGTTTTAATCAAAAAGATTTCTGTTATTCCTCGAATGAATAGAATGGTTGTTTCTAAAAATATTAGGTGAATACCTGTTCTTCTTACTGGATTAAAAAAAACAATAAACAATCAATAAGTCAGAGTTAATCAACACTACGAAATTATTCACTGCACTGAAAAACGCATTTATAACTTCCATCACGAGCTGGCGTATGAGAAATAAGTGCACCATTAAAATTTATTTCTGTGATTCAGGGGAAGAAGGTAAAGAAAATCTGAGCGAACGTGAAAGAAAGGAAATAGGAAAAGGAGTAGAGATTGTTTATTTGGCTGATGGTAGAAAATAGATGAATTAAAATCTAACTTATTTCCTATCAAAATGAACTAAATTGAAAAGCATTGAAAGGTATGCTAATTTATAATTCTCACCGAAAGAAATGCACTCATACTTAGTGCGCTTTTATCTTCTCCACCTGGGAAAAAATAAATTCCTCTGCTAAGCTCTCCAACTTGTTGTGGTTGAATAATACCAAAACAGTTATTAAATCTAAATTTTGTTGTTTATTAATAATTTTGGTCTACCTGGTGACTTTACGTTATAGTTTATTCTTATCTCGCCCCGCCCTATTTTAGGGCATACGAGAGTTGATACATACACAAATGATACATTAAAAATAGGTAAATCTCTAAAAGTTACATCAACAGTGAATATAAAAATCTGAATATCTAAAATAATGTTCAGTACAATTCTATAAAACAAGTTAAAACCAAATAAAATAATAAAGTAGTAAAAAGGTTAAATAAAAAAAAATAAAAAAAAAAACACAAAATCATCCAAAAACCAATAAATGTTAAAACTTTGCAGGAACCTGCAAAACAGTGATAAAATATAGAAGTTAAAATTCGATAAAGAGGTTAAAAGGCAGAACAAGTTAAGATTCAAAACAATCAGTTGAAAGTTGATAAAAACAATGCTTGTTAAATTAAAAATTTATAAAAACTATAGAAGTTAAAACGTAGAGAAGTTTAAAATGAAATTAGATAGATACACAAGACACCAGCAATAGTGTTCGCAGGCTCCGAGCATAGTTAAATGCGGTTCAGAGTGTCCTCCAATGTTACCTTTATAATTTGTTTAACTATGTTTCTACAGACCAACTTAGCAAAGCATTNTTCCTATCAAAATGAACTAAATTGAAAAGCATTGAAAGGTATGCTAATTTATAATTCTCACCGAAAGAAATGCACTCATACTTAGTGCGCTTTTATCTTTTCCACCTGGGAAAAAATAAATTCCTCTGCTAAGCTCTCCCTCCAACTTTTTGTGGTTGAATAATACCAAAACAGTTATTAAATCTAATTTTTGTTGTTTATTAATAATTTTGGTCTACCTGGTGACTTTACGTTATAAGAAACTTTTTTTGGTGGAACAAAACACTTGTGCAGGCGTGAAAATAAATATTATCTTATGAAAATAAATATTAATTATATTCGGTATCATTTGGCGATTGCTGACGGTCTTCTTATGATAGTCAAACTTTGCCACAATCAACTATTTTATTCTTTACTTATTACCTTTTACGGTCTATATTAAAACTAATGCTACAGTACCTTTTTTACTAAGTATCTGCATTAATATAATTGGTACATACCTATCAAAACATCAAATATTACCACAATACCTGTATTATTGATTAACAAAATGAATACGGAATTGTTGGCGTTAATAATAGTTTGGAAATTTTTACAGTTCTGCTTAATAAACGAGCACTTTTTCACCATTCATTTTGAGTTTGATTTTAATTTCTTTTATTTACATAGTTAAATTTCGATTTCAATTTATTTAATTTGATAGAAATATGTTTTAAAAGCATAATTATAAATGAAAATTGCGTGGTTTCAGACAACTTTGTAGAAGTTCTAATTTCGTGACTTATCTCTCTCATATCATTCACGTTGATTAATAATTGATATTTAATGTAAAGAATAAGAAATAATTGAATATTAAAGAGCGTAGAAAACTCCCTTTTTTGATTAAATGGAGCAGTAAGCTATCAAACAACACTGATATTATCTTTTAAATACTTGACAACTAAAATCATCTACAGTAAATTTTTATTAATGGCTAATGCTAAACTAATAATTGTTCAAACATCTCGCATGAACAATCTAACAGAAATTTGTGAATGATGATTAGAATAGGGGCTAAATTTTTTCTTTTCATCTGAGGTTCAAATTTCAGGACGACTGCACAATCAGTTTTGGAGTTATAAGAGCGACATACAGACTCACAAAATCTCTCTTTTTTTTATCTTGCTATCAAATTATTAAACAGATAATAGTTTCTAATGAAAAATAATACTTAGCATGTACTTAATAAATACTTAGCACGTTAATGTTAGTAGATGCTTATCATTTTTGCTGAGTACATGCTTATTATCTCAGCATTAATAAATATTTATTATTCATTAGGTATGTAGGTACTTGTTATTTTAGCGTTAATAAGCATCCATTATCTTAGCGTTGACTCTCATTTTTATAAGAGTTCTTAAAAACTTATTAGATATTTGCGTTAACACTTACTTTTGATCTTAGCGTAAGTAGAGACTTATTATTTTAGCGTTAAGAACACTAATTTAACAATTTTATTGCGCATATTTGATGCAACTTTAAAAGGAAATTTCAGCCATACCTCCGTACCTAAACATATTTTAAACCTAAACCTGCATCCTACCTGATTCAGCTAGGGATTCTAAATATTGAGCAAACAAATTTGCTGGGATTTTAGCACTACTAGGCTGAAGAAAATTTAAACGAGACCGTATGTTTCAGAACTCACTAATGTTTTACTGCCGAAAGAAAATTCGAATTGAAGAAATGCCAATAGTAATCGATCGAAGCCGTGATTTCTCAGGGGATAGAGCATTCGCCTTCCAATCGGGCGAACCGGGTTCAAATCCCAGTCGATACGAATTTCGCATCCGGCTTGCACCGACCCCATGAAATATCCTCAGTGGTAGACAGATCATAGGTTAGAGTCCCCTTGCCGTCTACCACTGAGAGGTAGACGGCAACCGTCTACCACGAGAACCGTGGGAGGTTGTCGTGGTCCTGCTCTCCATGTGACGCAAATGCAGGTTAGCTCCATCAAAAAAAAAGTCCTCCAAGAAGGCAAATTTTTCTCTCAATACTCGGTCCATGAGTTCCCTTGTCTTCTGAATTGGGTTCAAAATTACAAGGCTACGGACTTGAGTATTAGTAGTCGCAAACTCATAGGATTGGGTCGGCTGTTCAACGACGGTTATAAAATATAAAATAAAATAGTAATTGATCAGAACATGCTAATTACGTTATCTAACTTCAATCTTAAAATACAGGATGTACGCCTTTAGTAAAATACGAGTGGTCAAGTGCAAATTTTTATTAAATCTTCATAGTTGTGCTTGAACATAAACTGTCAAAAGTAGTGACGCGTAATGAATCATAATATCATGCGTATTTACTTCAACTATACTTTGTTGTTGTTACTCATCCTCCTGGTCTACACCAGGTCCTAAAGACCCCGTCCCCTGAGAACATTGAAAATCTTCGCCTGCTCAACCAACAGCTTCCTCCAGGAGGCTCCTAAGCAGTTAAGCAGGACTTGCGGAAAGGGACCAGGAGCAACGAGAAGAAATCTTTTTCCCATTCTGAAATTTCATGCATTTCAAGTGACCACTCCTGATTCTTGCCAAGGCTGATTGTGGAGTCCTGGGGTCTCTGCATAACAGAGACAGGCCTGGACCCTTTGCAGCGTACCAGTTATGAATTGGTAAGAGAGAAGATGAAAGTAAATTACTTTTGTAGAGAGAGTGGATTTCCGAAGGAGTTAGCTCAAATTTCTGAGTCACATGGACTGTACTTTGCATAACTTATTCGCTTCTCGGTGGATTTTGCGGCTGGTTTTGTTTTGATCACCTTTTTGATGTTGTTAGAGTAACTGTATTAAATATTCATGAAAAAGTAATTAAATAGCTACCATATCTAGTTTTAATAGACGTATTTGAGCTTTTATAAATTTTATAAATCTTATATCCCAGGTGTTGCAAGTTTAAAGAATAGTTGTTCTAACATTTAAGAAAGAATGTCTGTTTGTCAGTATGTTTATGTCTCTCTTTTAATGAGTAATTCTTTTAGAAGTTTACTTTGATGTTTTAAGTAAAAACCAAATAAGTAATGGACTACCAGTTCAAATGAGCTATCCAAAACTGTAAAAATTAGTGAAACTCCTGAAAATTATCAAAGTCATAAAATACTGGTTCTATTGGTTTTGTTCCGTAAGATCAAGAAACACTCATGTAAATGGAGTATTACTACACAGAAAGCAAATGAATTTTCTGAAAATCTGGGCCATAACACTTCAAAGCATCAAATGATTGTTTGGACAAATAGAAACAAAGACACGACATAATTTTAAGGACGTTGATGATAAAGAAAAATTAGTAGATGCGCAACAAAAATACAAAACTCTGTTGATAATATCATACATTCGTGTAAAAAAAAAAGATTTTCTTAATTAGGAACCTTAAATTTTTATTTACTTCTAACAAATACCCTTGATTAACCCACTTACTTCACCTGTTTTAATATCAATGTAACTTGAATTTATGATTAACTTACATTTTGAATTTTTTAGGTAATTTCTAAATAAAGGAGCTTTTTTTAAAGAAACAAATGTTTTGGTCCCGCTGATATCTCCTAATAAGAGGTACTACTGAATATAGTAAACGATACTCAATTTAAATCTCGAGATTTGCCTGAGGAAATTATAAACCACGCAATGTAGCGTTGAGATGAGTTTTCTATGTTATCTTACGACAGAGATGAAAATAATTTTAATATTTCTGCTGCCTATTATGCTGAAATGTCATGAACTCATATTTATAGTGTGATTTAATGGCCATCGATCAGGTTTTAAATTATAACT